GACACAAAAGTCAGACTCATCAAACCATTTCACGGGGCACGTTTCACATGCAATTGTATGTGACTATATGCAGCTATTCCTTTTAGTTTCTTACTTGTCTTTCACTTTTTGAGCACTAAAAGTATTTTTCTCAATATTGAACCAAGTCTTTCTAGCATTTACTAGAAAAGAGAACGTAAAGAGATGTAGTTACCTGCGAAAGATCTAAACTTCATACATATTAGAAATCATAGACTAAAGTTACGCTAAATTGTCATTTTTCCGTTTATTCTCAATGTGTATTGCAAAATTAGGGAAGAAAACATGGTAAGCATTAAAATCAAAATCCACTTGGTATATCTTACGCGATGGCCAAGCGACAATAGTAGTAGTGGGGAAGTGGTAGCATCTTACACAATAGCGAAGCAATAGTGGCAACAGAGGCGAAGCGATGATGACGAGGCAGTGGGACCTTACGCGACGACAAAGTAGCAGCGACAGCAGAGGTGAAGCGGTGATGATGAGGCAACGACACCTTATGCCAGAAAAGGGCTTGCGAACGCGAACCCTAGGTTCTTTATTATGCTGATTTGGCCATGGACCCCACCATTTCTTTGAATATTTTATTAATTTAACTGGACCGCTTGGTACAAGATGGTCCGCATACCAGTACCCTATCGGACCAGTATGTACTGCCCATACCGCGCGGTATACCACGGAATGACAAACCCTGCATAATAGTTCATCTGTTTTATGCACCATTTCCCTTGCTTTATCAAGCTTTGCAGTTGACTAAATAAAAATCCATTTGTTTTAAGTTGGGAACCGGACTCAGCATCTTGATTTCAAAAAGGAATCCATCTTTGGTGGCTTCATTCGCATTCCTGTCATGCGGATATGTTTTTAGCGCATATCAAGAGGTTAGTATCAGTAACTCCCTGCTGTGACTTTATTACCTTTTCTCACTGATAGTTCTCGTTGATCATGCTTATTGTAATTGTTTATCTATCTTCCTTGCTAGGTCAAATCAGTTGTGTTGAATACATTAAACAGGGCAAGATTCACTGTGGCCGTGGAATCCTTCATCAAGACTGGTAAGTCAAGCAAGTACTATAAAACGTAAAAGAAATTGTCATTGTTGTAAAAGAGACAAGATGTGATGAAGCAATTTGATATGGTTTCCAAAATTTTGGATTGGTTGAGAAAAGAGAAGCAAAAACAAGAAGAGAAAACAGAAAACTATGAGTAAGAGAAAGGAGAGGGGAAGATGCAAATATGATCAGTTCGATTGATCTAAAAAAGTAGTCATGGCATGCAGGATGTTGAGTTAGTATTGTGGTGTATGACACTTTGAGGCTGAATATACTGTTCATACCATAATCTTGACCATAAATATACCATCAAAGTTCAAGACATGTTGCATTTATAGATCTATTGGAAGTAATGCAATGTTTTTGTTATCTAAGAAGCATTTTAAATAACGAATGCTAAGAAAATGAATAAAGATTGAAATATTAATGTGTTATTGTTGTGGCTTATAGATACATGTATGAAACATAATAGTAGATAGTGGTATATTACACAAGACTCCCGCTAATGTGGGGTCTAGGAAGGATCAGTGTGTACAGAAATTTTAACCTTTACTAAATGTTCAATCCTTGGAATTTTCTAGGGCATGTTCCATCACTGAAGGAAGGAAACTCTAAGGAAAGTATATTTCGTCCTCCATGGTCGAAACATACACCAGTAGTTATAGGTATGTGATAACTGGACTGTACTTCTGTTCATTCTTATCAGTCTACAATTATAGCTACTTTTTTACCTTGGCTTTAGGCCCAAGATTTTGTGATGCATTCCAGGAGTCATCCTCGTTTTTTGCCATACAACCCTTGTTCGAGGTAGTGTTTCTTACCATTTACTCATGCTACTTGTTTTATGCAGTGTAGTTCACATAACAGGTTATGATTGTTCTACATGCATTGTTCAGTTTGCTACTTACGTTAATTGAGTTTTAGAAATCAACACTAGTATTATAATTTTTCTTTTTAGCCAATTTTGATATGACTTGATGATTTTCTGTCTATGCTTCATTTGTAATTACAGAAAGAGAGATACATGGTTACCTACAACCCTTCAAAGGATAAAATATATGCATTATTGAAGGATCAAGCAAAATCAGATGATATATTGAAAGCAGCATTTCATGTGAGTATTGGTTATTGATGGTTGACTAGCCAGTAACACCTGCCTATTTAATTGTGTGCTTTATCTTTATGACAGGCTCATGTCCTTCTATATTTCATCCGTTTGTCAAGTTCAAATCAAGCTTTGAGAAAGCTGATGAACTCTAACCAATCAACATATGGAGTACCCTTACTTCCTACAAATGCTGACTTCCTTGCTCATATGGAAGAGTCTTGCAAGATTGTTTCATCTTCATATGCGATATTCAAGAGAAAAGCAGCAGAGCAGGTGATGCATTAAAGACTTGGTATTATATGTTAGCTTAGGTACCCTTTTTTTAGGATGTTCTACTCCATATACTGCTGTAGTCTTTCTACTTATACATTCATCTAATATGCAAGCTAAATTTAGCTGGTCATAGTAGTAAATTCATAATTATGATTTGTTGCCTGTGTTAGCTTGGGGAATATCTAGATAAAGAGTAATCGGGTCCTCACTTTGGATGATTCTGGAAGCCTTCACTTTTAAGGAATATGGATTAAGAAAAAGCATGAGCAGGGAATATTTATGAAGTCCATTATCAGATCAAAGAGAAAGAAATCTAAGTCATTTATGATTTATGTGTACCCCTGCAAAGTTGAAGTCTCATTATTATTCTCACATGTCATTTTTGGGGCAGACATTATGTCAACTTCCGTATATACTTCTATGGTATATTCAATCTTTTAATTGCTATTTTTTCAAGGGAAATGATTTAATGGCAAAGAAACTGACTAGCATAATATTCTATCTTTTCATAATGAATTAGTGCTTTTGCATTCATTGAACTAATTAATCTAGAAGTGAAAGCTAGTTTTATGCTAAGAGTGTTTGTTTTTTTTTCTTGTCAAGGGGTGGATAATGTCGGAGTCATTGCTGAACCCTGGCAGAGCTCGGCTACTAAGCACCAAAGAACTTTGATCTTTGATTATCATTCAGAAATTCGACATTCATTTCGTGGATGCTCATCATTAAGATTCTGCAGTGAAAACTCATGGTAAAATCATGCTTCATGTCACATCTAACACTTGTACTAAGCGAGTGGAAGTAAACACTGCAGCAACTGCAGAGTATACCATTCTATCATCTATATCGGGTACGAAGATATCTCAACATGAAGCGATGGAATTTCGATTTTTACTAGCTCTTGGACATGCTGTCTCATACAAATTATAGAACCCAACTTTCATCTGAAAAAATTTTGGTCTTTCATAGTTGCAAGCTTCTCACTCTTGCACGTGATATGGATGGGTAAATGTTCAATGCAAGCCTTTTCTTTGTGGATTTCTGGGCCTTGAATAATACTAATGTTGTAAATACCTTTATATCGTGAATTTCGATCTTAATGTTGTAAATACCTTTATATCATTATTCAGCAATTTTATCTTGTAACATAATATGTATTAGGTGCAAGACGCTAAAATGTGGTTCAGAGGTTACGTGAAGGGTTTGACACAGATTTTGCAGCCTCATAAGAGCTCTCCGATAAAGATAGATTTTGTTGCTCAGTATGTATCTATATTTGGTCAAAAGATGGTGAAAATTTGTCTGGCTGACATTGTTCTTCATGTGCTACTATGGATTTGTTTTCTTATTCTTGTGAGTCATGATGACATGTAACTGGTCAAAATCTCCGAAACAGAGTTAATTGTTGATTCATGCTATTTTTTTATTTTATTCCTAGCATTAACATGCAAATACACGCTGTCTGATAAGACTTGTTAGGGAGCTTCATATTGGATTACCTCAGCCTACGTATGTGAAAGAATCTCAAGTGGTGTTGGCCCAGTTTGACACTTGCAGGCATCTCGTCACTTACAAGGTTAGTAGATTAAACCTAACATGTTTTTAAATTGCAACTTTTACTTCACTGTAGTAGTATTTTATTCTTGCAGGCTGCAAGATTGCATGCAGGCGTTTGGTTGGCCACGAATGGATAATCTTCAAGTCATTTGTGGATGCCATTTGTGCAGGTGAAATAACAGGCTCTACATAACCACAGAGAATGATTTATGGTAACAGTCACACTACAATGATTTCGTTATCTGAAATATTCCAGCTACAATGACATCTCATCCGATCTATAGTATCCTTGTCAGCTGTTTTCATGGTTGCAGTTTTTCGTCTAAGAGGAACAATAAGCTCAAACCAAACCAAATCTCCAAATTAGATCCCATGCACTAAATGTTAAGAAGGCCAAATTCCACTGCCTGATTCATCTTTTGGGGAAAAGAAAAAAATTTCATCCAAGAATTGTTCCTAGTTCTTCTAAGACAAAAAACTTAGTCAATTCCTGATGGAGTCATCAATTTATACCTTAACAATCATGGGAACATGCCATAAAGTGAAAAAACATATCATGTGATGCCATGTCCATATCTATTCTTTGAGGAAAAACGACAACCTTCATGAAATTAGAGTCAACCTACGATCAAACTTTTAGATTCCACAAAGCTAAAAGGTTAGCAAAAATCAACCATGCAAGTATCAAATCGTTTGAACATTATGCCTCCCAAGTTGCAGCACTAGCAGCAGTGACTCCCAATAGTGCTCCAACGACACTCTTAACAGTCCGAGGGGGGGCTCACTTCCCAAACATTAAAGCAGCTCACCGACTCAACTCCCACTGATGCACTGTTCGCTTGCCCGTATTGACTAAAATACCCTCAATCCTTTTACTGATTTCTACATGAGTCAACCATATTTGTAAGTAATGCCAGGGGTATAAAAGACTTATTATCCTGATAAAATAAATCCGGGGTTCAACATAGCGATAAAGTCCTTTCTTTTCCCTTTTTCTTTCCTCCTCTTTAATTTAAATCCCTTCTTTTTGTCTTCTCATCAAGCGATGCTTGCGAAGGCCTCCACCCAGATGTCTTCCTTCTCTTGCTCTTCTTCTTCTAGGGTTCGTTATCTTCCTCCCAGTCTCCTTTTCCTTTCTACTTCTGGTTCTTATCCTTTGATCTGTTGTAATGTATCTTTTGGTGCGGTTTTGATAAGATAGCCTCAGCCTCGGCGCGTTTGAGATCCTTTTCGCGCCAGGAATTGCATGTTTCGGCTCGATTCTTTTTTTCTTGCGATCTCGTTTGTTTTATTCGGATTTTGATGATGCTGAGGCGTCGTGTTCTGGCCGGATCTGATGTGCGTTCCTTAATTCCTGGATTTTATGCTGGATCTAATAGTTTTCGATTTTTCGATGTGGGGGTGTGCTACTTATGGACGTCATTTGTTATGAATTAGTTTTTGTTGGTGATGATTTAGTAGCATGGGGATGGTTCGAAGTGGCACACATTGAATGCTGAGAGGAGGTTTGGTGATGTGGTCTAGCTTTGTGTTATTGCGATCATGGGTGTCGTGTTAGTATCAGATATAAAGACTGTGAGTTAGAATTCCAAGTGTATAGAGATGATTAACTCAGATTACCTGAAACCAAATTGTCTACATTGTTGGGAAGCGTAGGAATTCGACTCAAGGATCATGCATCCGTTGTTTTTCAGTACTATAGACTATTGTATCACAAGTATTAATCCTATAGAAAGGTGACTGGTGTGTGCCCCTAGTTTTCATCTTGAACCATAGAAATTGCAAAGTGCTGTTTCCATCTCTGTTCTATGGATTTTCCTCATTCTCTTAGCTTATTCTTTTTTCTGCTTGCTGATTCTAATGTGATGAATTAAGCATTATTTTTGAATTATTTAAGTTCTCTTTTGTAGGTAAGAGGACAACCATGCATGTGGCCAAATATGAGAAAACAATGGTTTGGGAAAAATTTACTATATGGCTTTGGAACCCTGATCGTCAGTCCTATAAAAATTTTGCGTGGGGTGAACCAGTTTTTGGGTCTCCCCCCTTTCTTTTGCAACATTACTTGTATGTCATCCTCATTACAAATTGAGTTGGTGAGTGTTTGATGTCTTTGGATCTCTATATTTTACGTGCTTTTACATTACTATCTTGCACTAAACTACTGAATTAAACTATAGCCGATGAAACTTGTTAATATGAGTTACTTTGACAATCCCCTCACATTAAGATTTGCAACAACACAAGCATATTCTCCAGATATTTGGAGTCAGCTGCATGTTTCTTTTTTCATGGAATCTTTTTTTGCCATTGAGCTCTTGTTGAGAACAGTAACACAAGTTAACCTAATAGCTATCAGTTCCCTTTCATATGCCAACTTTAGAAGTTATCTTTATGGTCATGAATCTACCACATTCTTTAGCTTACTAGTTGTATTTGGATAATTTTTCTGTTGCTTAATAGAAGAAAAAACAGTGAGGACCTTTTATCATCACATAGCACTATTGGTTGCAATGTCCTTGGACATGCCAAGGTGGGCACATTTTTTTTGTGATTGACCAAGTCTTTGGTCTTTCTGTCTAGGGTATTCAAAATCTTACTTGGTAGGGGTTACGAAAGAAGATTCTGTATGAGTAGATCTTTTATTGTTCAGATAGTATTCAACCAAATTTTTTTGATTTACTAGTTAGATATTAAAAATAGAAAATTTGCCAAGTAAGATGATTTAGCCTTTTGTATGATGGGTATTGGTGCTAGCTGTCATATTAACAGGGAAAAAGGTATACATGAAAAAGAATGGTAAGACATCTGTCTGGCACCTTATCCAATTTGAATATCTATTGAGCTTTCTGTATCCTAGAGACATGTTGCGTAGAATCAGATTACAATTCATTATTTTTTTGCTCTATGTTGAGGGAATATTGATACCTTCAGTAAATTTTGTAATAGTTTAATAAAGTTCCTGATAGTTTAAGAGAGTTATTTGGTTGTTTTGGCTTCGAGAAAGAATGATAAATAATCCTGATCTATAAATAATTTTGAAGTGCTCTAAATAAGCCTTGTATCTTATAGATTGAGAGTGAGCGTTGATATCATGGCAGAATTTCTCCTTGTGATCTAGGTGACTAGGATTTGGGTTAGAAAACAGTGATTATGCTTCCAAGGGCAAAGCTATGTAAATTGATCTTCCCCAAACCCATCATTTGTGGGAGCCTTGTGTATTAAGCTGTCTCTTTATAAATATTATGGATTAATAGAACAAATTGTTCTGATTTTACACCCTTCATCTTAACATTCTGCATAAGGAAAATGAAGAAGTCATGGACAGCAATGGTCATCTTGTGACAGTTTGTACAACTTAGCCTACTTAATAATGCTTTATCTAGAAGATGATGTTGTCTTCCCAGTTTCATGATTTTGATAACCTTTTAAAATATGATCAAGTGGGGGGTAGCAAACACATGCTTTAGTCCAATTTATAAAGAAATGGTTGTATATAATGCTGAAATTTGTTCTCTGTGTCTGTTACAAACTACTATTTGCAAAGCTGCCTCTGGATGTCTGCATTTAAGTTTTGTATATCTCAGCCTGTGGCAATCTTGTGTTTTCATACCATGGCTCAGCCAGTGTCCTCACTTTTCTTTTGGTGTTAATGTGTCCCACATTTTTTTCAGGTGCCGTGCCTTCAAGATAATTATGCATATCTTTTGCATGACATAGATACAGGTACAGTTGGAGTCGTTGATCCTTCTGAAGCCGCACCTGTTATAAATGTGCTGGAACGCAGAAATCAGAACTTAACTTACATACTTAATACCCATCATCACTATGATCATACTGGTGGAAACTTGGAGCTGAAAGCAAGGTATGGTGCAAAGGTATGATGGTAGACGATTTCTTTTTCCATGAAATTCTGGGACTGAAATAGACTCTACCAATATAAACCTCTTTTCTTTTGTCATTGTCTCATTGCCTTTCTGATTTATCTGGAAAAAATGATTTATTGTCTCTGTAATTTAGCAAATATCTATGTCTTTGTGGTTTCTTTATTATTTTGATATACAGTTGTCATAGTTTTAGGAACCCTTCACTTAAGTTGATTTGTATTGCTAGTCACAGAACAATCAGACAATTACTACAGCTGAGTTATGCATGAAATAACAGAGGTTGTAGTCTTTGAGTATTCAATTTTGGTCAATTATCTCTGCATAGCTGGAAATTCCTTTCAAACGATTAAGTTGTGAAATTGATATTTCACTAGGAGAGAATGATGAAGTTTCCCTAAGAGAACGCGAAAAGATATTGAGATCATGCATTATTTCTCATACGACAGATTTTTGGTCAATTATACCCAGAACATGTATCTGGCAGCATAGTCTTTTGATTGCCAATTATTGTCATATTGGAGTTATAACCTTCTGTTTGAAATTGTTGGAAGTGGATGGAACACATCAATGGTTTGTTTTTTTTTTCCGCATTTCTCACTACTATAGCATCTTAATAATTCATTTAGATAGAAATCTAATTTAAATGTGACAAGAATGGGAATGGCTGACATTTCAATTATTGTCATATTGGAGTTATAACCTTCTGTTTGAAATTGTTGGAAGTGGATGGAACACATCAATGGTTTGTTTTTTTTTTCCGCATTTCTCACTACTATAGCATCTTAATAATTCATTTAGATAGAAATCTAATTTAAATGTGACAAGAATGGGAATGGCTGACATTTCAACTTAGTTTGGGAAATAGATGATCTTGTGTACTCTAAAAGCATGCATTTGCTGGAAGTGCAAGTTTGCAACTAATATATTGATAAAGTTATTTTTGGCTAGTTCTTGACTTCAGTATGCTAAAATTAGGTTATTGGTTCTGCTAAAGACAAGGATAGAATTCCTGGCATAGACATATCCCTACATGATCGAGAAACGTGGATGTTTGCAGGCCATGAGGTGCTCGTGATGGAAACTCCTGGTCACACAAAAGGTCAAATCTATTTGATCATTTGAATGTACAGCATTTAATTATTTTTCTATTTTCTTCCTTGCAGAATTTTGGTCAGATTAGCCTCTTTTTCTTTCATTTCATAACTGACATTCTATTTGTTGCTCACTCTTGGTCAGTCTCTGGGAAAGCAATATCTTCACATAAAAATCTTTTGCAAAAGGGGCACTATTGTCATGTATCCAAATATTACAGTATACTTCATCACCAACATATTTTGATTGTCATGATTTGTTATTCAGATAGTGTTTCCATAGTAATACCATTAGCTTTTCATTTTGCTTTTCTAAGAACCATGATTAGTGTCAAAGTTCTAGTTACTTTACTTTTTACCAAAATTCTTTGGTGGTCCAATCATTTATTGGTGTTAGTTCATAATAAATTTTTGCAACTGCTGCAATAACTTTAATTTGGATTAATCACCAAGCTTTCTGAACTTTATTAAGCTCATATTGGTTTCAGGGAGTAACTAAACATATAGTACAACTGCTGGCCATCCTGTAAGACAACTTTGTCTTCCTTGTGATGATGCAAAATATTCTTAACCATTTTTAAATTTTAACAGGTCATGTGAGCTATTACTTTCCAGGATGTGGAGCAGTATTTACCGGGGATGCCTTGTTTAGCTTATCCTGTGGCAAACTTTTTGAAGGAGATCCAGATCAGGTTTTCTTTTGCCAAAATATGTGATTTTGTGTTTGCTGTCACACACCCTATTTCTGTGGCTTTGATGATAAGACTTTTAAAGTGGACAGGCTATAGCAAACTAGTCCATTAAGTTTAAAATGGGCAAGAAAAATGGCTGATGCATTCTTAACTTGTTTGTCCTGGAATGTTTACAGATGACAAAATCTATGAATTTTTTCATTCTCATGATCAATTTGTAAATTAAATACATCGACTAGTTTTTTCTATAGTTCTATATCTGCATATACCTATTGTTCAAATGTGGATGTGGGGTTCATTTGTGTTAGCATATGTATCTAAAGAATGACTAGTGTTATTGCCTTTAAAAAGATCATATATCAAAAAGAAGCATAAAGTTATGTGCATTGCAAGCAACTTGTGAGTGCCAAATTAAAGTAAATGCACCATGTTGAACTTTGACATAAAACAAATGAGTCATTGACAATTTTGCATTATTTTATCTTGTTTCTATAATGTGCATAACAAGTTGTATTTCTCCTGATGCAGATGCTTTCTTCGCTTCAACAAATTATGTCTTTACCGGATGCCACAGATGTATACTGTGGCCATGAATATACTCTGGTATGAGGTCATTTCTTTTAGTATTTAAGTGACAAGTTGTGGATGCAGTATTGATGTTACTGGTGCTTCTGGCAGAGCAACTCTAAGTTTGCCTTATCTATAGAACCCAACAATCAAGCACTCCAGGAATATGCAGCACATGTTGCTCAGCTACGCAGTAAAATGCTGCCAACGGTAATCCTATTAAAACTTAATAGTGATTTTGTCTTTGTTGATTTGAATACAACAGAAATCAAACTATATATGTTGGCTCAGTGGTGTCCTTTTCTTGTCATTCCAGAAAGCCTTTTGATGAGAATTCTGTTTATTTTAAAAGAATGAAAGAACTCATCTTGACTTTGTAACACTTGTTGAATTTGATCATTGACATACTGTGATGTTCTAGATTCCGACAACAATAAAAAGAGAAAAACAGTGTAATCCATTTCTGCGCACCTCCAGTCCTGAGATCCGGCGAAAGTTGAATATCCCCCTTTCTGCGAGTGATGCACAAGCCTTGGGTATCATTCGTCGAGCCAAGGATAACTTTTAATGCAGTTCTTTCTGTAATAAACACAGGTCTGTATTATTTGGAAACTAATATTCTTTCAAGATCTCTGTAATGTTGCCTAGTTGTGTGTAATATGCTTTTGGTTATATGAGATATTCATCACTTTTCAGATATCATTCAGAGTAAATGTTTTTCTGACATGAAATGAATTCGTTGTCCTCTTGTATATCTTCCCATATTCTGAGCTTTTGATTATTTGTTGTCGTTTCATTTCCTAAATCCAATTTACTTTCAACGTTACAATAAATTGTCCTAGCTAATATCCCATCGTTCTCTCTCGTTTTCCCTACCTTAAGCTCCCATTCCTTATCATAGTTGTTTCGATTTCATGGGTTCCATCCGGTGATTTGAACGTTCTTGATATGACTAAGAATATTATTTTTTTCTGCAGAACTCGATGACATTACAATTTGTTGTTTTTAGGATATTATGAGGAGTTTGTACAATGAAAACAACTTTCTAGCATGTGCACATGCTCTTGTATTGTTCTATATGAAGGATAAAAAACATTAATTATAAGGCCATGTGGACTTTGTTAATATGTAGCAGAAATGAATGACGATCTGAGAGTTGCATGGTATTAATGAGCCAAGCTTCAAATAAATCTGTCAACCAAAATTTCACCATCAGATACTGTTATTTTGTCTTTTGTCAATCACCCACCCGAGTGCTTCTAAACCTCCACACTTTAAATTTTATAATAATTAACAATTTTATAAGATCTTTGAATTTTAAATTTTATAAACTAAATAATAATATTATAATGCCTTCAATTAATAATTTTGGATGATAATTAGGAAGATCTTGATATATTTCAAATAAAACCTGATACAATTCTATTTTTTTTTAACCTTATCTTAGGTCTAAATATTTTAAAAAAATTATAATATTTATAATCATATATGATGGAGAAATGTTGACAAAAAAAATATAGATGTTTTCCAGTTATAGGATTTTTAAATGGAGTTACAGTATTTTATTTTTTTTTCAGTAATAAAAAAAATTATAAATCAAATTTATATGCTATTTCCAATATTTGCAATTTCCTCCTTGTCAATTGTGAGTTCCCCAGAAACAACCCCTTCTGAAAACCACGCCACGGCTCAACAAGGGGACGGAAAAGGGCTGCTTTTTAAGAGGGAGCCGAAGAAGAGCCCTCTCGAAGCAACAACTCCCTTCCTCATCTCTTGGCTTCTCACTCTCGTCGGCGATCCTTGTAGGAAGTTCCGTCGCGAATTTGAGAGAGCAGAGGAGAGAGGCAAATCCAGAACCCTCATCGAAGCCCTAGTCCTCGATAGGGTAGATAGAGAGAGATAAATAGGATGGACGCCATCAGGAAGCAACTCGACGTGCTCATGGGCGCTAACCGCAACGGGGACGTGACGGAGGTGAGCCGCAAGTACTACGACCGCGACGTCTGCCGCCTCTTCTTGGCCGGCCTCTGCCCCCATGACCTCTTCCAGCTCACGGTGCCTCACCTCACCTTCCTGAAACCCTACTCTTGGATGCTTGTACATTCAAATATGGATTCCGAATCTGGAGCTGTTGGTGTGATGTTAACAGCGAAATGAAGTCGGAAGCTCTGTTTACTGACTGTTCTTGCATTATTTTTCTTCCTTCCATTTTGGTGTCAAAAATCCTTTGTTTCCATTTGATTTTGTGTTTTATGAATGTTCGTTACTAGTTAAGTTTCAAGCTTTTGCCCCTCTTTTGTGATCCTATCTTGTCGTCAGGTGCTTCCAAAGATCTGAAGAATACAACTTGTACTTTGAGCTTGGTTTTTGGTTTATTTTAGCTGGTGTTTTTTTCACATTTCCGGTCGTGTACAATATTGATGTTGCTAACTTGGCAAATGTAAAGTTTCTCCGTCTCTATTCCTTTCTGGGAGAGGAACTATGTGGGGCTTGTAGTTCTTTCTAGCTCGGTGTGTATTGTTGATATGATGACTTAAGATGAGAGAATCGTAGCCCTATTTGACTTTCATGATGTCTATCATATTGTGATTTGTTTTCTGTCTTCTGATATTCCATTTCCATGATTGCGATGTCCTGGCTTGTTCACAGCGGCAGTTGGTATTATCTCGATCTTTTTGAACTTGGTTTACCTTCCAAGGTGTACTGCTGAGTGCTGATTTTTATGCCTGCACTTAAGGCTTTGAAATTTAAAACTACTTATATATGTTCTTTCACTAATAAAGCTGTACCAATTTGCATCAGAAAATGGATATGGGTCCCTGCCCAAAGATTCACTCTTTGCAGCTCAGGAAGGAGTATCCTTTTTTCTTATTAAATATCTATATTTTCTTTTACTTTAGATTCGTCAGCACTGATTCATGTAGAACGAGGAATTCTACCAAACAAAGAACCAGAGTGTCCATAACTGTTAATTTCAGATTGGCTATATGATCTCAAAAAACCATTTAGTAACACATTTTTTGTTGAACAAAAGTTTGTGAACTTCCATACAAGATAAAATACCTGCTTTAATATGCTTATGCAACATTCACTTTGTGTGCTTTTAGTGTTGCTTGCTGGTGATTGTTTATCAAGCATTGGTAACCAATTGTCCTGCCTCGGATATGATTCTTGATAGTTAATACTATTGTCATATATTGTAGGTGTTATGTTAGAGATTATAGGTCTAATGTGGATTCTTTGCATTTGCTTTTTCTAATTTACCTTACTAACCTCCTTGTATGTGTGTTAAATATTATGCTAGTGTCACCAGGCAAGGTTCTTAACTCCTTATATAGCTGATCAGTGACTGTTTCTTCGTCATGCTTCATCCTTCAATCATCCACTACCAGATTAATCTCTCTCCATCATTCTTACACCTATTCTGGACAGTCAACACAACTTTAAACAGTCATATCCCCTGTTTGTCTTTCTCAGTTCTTGTTTATTGCTGCTTTATCTATATATGTAATCCTCTATAGGATTCGTAGGATTCACGACTTGAACATGTATATTTGCTTCTATGAAACATAATTTTGATAAAAAAAATTCTCAAGTATCCTTATTTTCTTTATTGAAGACCTTCAGTTGGCAGGATGCAGTCATCTGTCAGGCAGGTAATCCTTGTGGGCTGAAGGGGTTTCTTGGTAACTTTCATTTTTATGCAAAACCATATTGGTGGACATCATCTAGCATTCTTAGCTTTGGATGGAAAAAGGAAAAAAGAGACGGGGTTATGAATAGGTTTCTTATGTATCTGTTCTCTGGAGAATCACATTATGAAGCTGTATTTTGAGAAGCAGTTCTTGAATTATGAGTTCCTGATGGCTCTTTTGGTGGACAACGTCGAGGCGACGCGACGTCACCTTTATATATATATACATATATATATATATATACATATATATATATATACATATATATATATATACATATATATATATATA